AGAGAATGATGAATCCTGGCAGTATTGAGGAATGGAAGGAAGTCTACCAACAGTGGTTCTCCTTGCCTGGTGAGACACCTGCCATTTCCCTATTGCTGCTTCCAAATTCATTTTGCACACTTTGTATACACGTCGTTTTTATCATCAGGAAAAGGCTATGTAGGAGGATCTTAAGCTGAAGGCTAGCCTGAGCTACTACATCTCAAAAACAAACCCTGAATCAGCTCTGTGGTGGAGTTACAGTGCTGGAGATGAAGGAGCAGCCCAAGGCTCATCCTTCTAAGTCTGGGCTAGCCATCAGGGGCCAGGGCAGCTAGAGCCGGCTCTCATTCTTGATGCTTTGGATGAATCTCTGAGACTCTTGGCCCCTCAGCTTCCCCAGCTGTATAAAGGGAGTTGGCCTACAGCCCTGGGAAGCCAGAAGCCCAAATCTGGAGACACCCCTGGGCTCACTTACCACATTTGGGTTGAAGGGTGGAGTTAGCCTCTTGTGGTACAGGTCATCCCAGTTTATGGAACTGAAGAACACATGGTCCTTTATGTCGAGCTGCAGGGAGAAGACACTGGTCAGCAGTCCTTACCGCAGCTGCTCCCCAACTGGTGCCCCCAACTGGCCACCAACTAGACAGAACTTCGCAGCTCTGGCTGGTTTGCTCAGCCCAGGGAGCATTCTGTTGACAGACATCTTATCTCCCGAATCATCTGAACCCAAATTTCCCCCTACAGCCGCAGGTGCCTTTCATGGCTAGGTTTCAGCACCCACAGAATATCAGGCTCTGGCCGCGTGTCTGTGAGCAAGGCTGCAGAACTGGTGATAGGGGCACAGGGTGTGCAGGGGGAGCTTGAAGACAGCCTCCCACCGCCACACACATTGATGCATCTTGATTCTTCCAGAATGCAATCCAGGGAAACCGAACAAACCTGCTCACCAAAGGAGACACGTGAAATAAAGCCCTAGGAACAACTGCAGACTTCCAGGGACTCAAAAGTGAGGAGTGAGTCCTGGGCATGGTTTCTCACTCTGTTCCTAAAGCGCCTTCCCTCCCTGAAGGTCTTCCCTCTGTTTCACGTTGAACAATCCTCCTACACCTCACGTCAGAACTGCCTCTTAGAGGTTTGATTTCTGTGAATGCATAACTTATTTCAAGAGTCACGGGCATGTTCTAAGATACAAACTCCTCTTTAGAAGGAAGGGATCTGTCTTCACAGAAGCCCAAATCTTTAAGCTGACTGGGGGAACGGATAGGTAAATAGCCACAGTGCTGTCACACATCACAGTACCTGGTACAGAGAGCTTTTGGTGTATAGAATGCTTACAAACTCTTGTAATATACCAGACACGGGTCAAAAAGCTGTGCTACCCACAGAGTGGGGGTGAGCAGTCCTGGACCCTATCCTTCAGACGCTTCGGCCATCGGGATTGCAGTCATCTCCTCCTCATCTGAGACAGGGTCTTACTTTGTAGCCCTGGCTGGCCTGGAACTCACTTTTTATACCAGACTGTTCCAAAACTCACAGAGATCTGCCTGCCTCTGCCACGGGTGGAGGTCAGAGAACAACTTTTGGGAGTCAGTTCTCATCTTCCACCACGTGGGTCCTGGGGATCGAACTCAGGTTGTCAGGCTTGGTAGCAGGCACCTTACACCCGAAATAGCTTGCTGACCCCGAAATAATCCTACATTGAGCAATGAATAAGAATTTTTTTTTTTTTTGGGTTTTTCAAGACAAGGTTTCTCTGTGTAACAGCCTTAGCTGTCTTGGAACTGGCTTTGTAGACCAGGCTGGTCTTGAACTCACAGAGATCCACCTGCCTCTGCCTCCTGAGTGCTGGGATTAAAAGGCATGAGCCAGCATGCCTGGTTTAAGATTATTTTTAAAGTGATGCTTTAATCTTTTTTTTTTTAAAAAAAAAAAAACATGTATGTGTCAGAACAGGAATGAAAGAAACAGGCAATGAATTCTATGAATTATTTATCCCCATATCTTATATGTCCAGCCAGATGTCTGGCAAAGTGAATTGCTCAGACATCTGTGAAAAGCAAGGTATTCATGCAGTTTCTCCGTGCAGAAGCAGGAGGAAGCTTCTAAAACTGTAGATCGCTCTATTCCTCTGCTCAGCAATCACACCCTCTTCTTGCTGTTCTCCTCCTTGTACAGACCACAGGACTTTGACACATGCTGTGCCTGCAGCCAGGGAGCCTTCATCCAGTTCCTTGCATGGTTCCTCACATTCCAAGTTCAGCTTGTCACCTCCCTAGAGGGGACCTTCCTGGCCATGCCAGTGTGAAACGGCACCACCCCTATACACCCTTATCATCTATCTCTGCTTGTTGTTCATTTCCTTCCCGAAACATGTCACACTTGGTGACAATCATACAGAATCTTTGGGTTTTGTTAGTTTCCTTCCTTCAAACTTCATCACATCAGGGACCCAGGCTATTAAACCCCTAGCTCAGTGTTGGTCCCGAATAAGGCTTCAGCAAATATT